CCCAGCCCCAGCTGCTGTAGGCATTTGGGGAATGAACCCGAGGATAGGAGAGATTTCTTTTTTATGTCTTTGTGTTTCTCTGCTTTTCAAATAAGCAAGTAATTTTTAAAAGAAGTTATGTGAGTTCAGAGTACATAGTGACCTAGACATTCCATTTTCATCATTAATTTATGAAATGCTGTATAGTGGTCTTAATAGTGTGCTGAACACTGCTCACATACAGAGTGTTCCCATTAGGAATCTTATAATCTAAAACATACAAATAACCATATGCAGAAAAAAAGCTAGAGATCACAGTAAAAGGAAGCATTCACAAAAATGTACAAATTCAGCATGCCAGAAGTTTTCAGTTGAGCAACATGATCCCCAGTGAAATTCCTTCCAAATGATGTATCGTGTGCACAAGTTATAAGTGATTATCTTCAATTTTCTTAGAAATGAGTAATAAGATACCTCTTAAGACCCATGCTTTTGTACGTGCATCAAACATTATAGTTGGCGTGATCACTGATAGCTGCCATTTAAGGAAAAAACGTATTTTCTGTCTTGTCTCATAACAAAGAAATCCAGGTCTCTTTTCTCCCAGGTTGGTAATAAGTAACCTTTTTTTTTTCTAGGCTAGAGTGAACAGCAAACATTGCAACTCTAAAGATGGAAGGAGCAGAATGCGCAAAAAACATTGCATCAAAATATTGGATAGAACCTACCTACTAGGCCATAAGAAAAAAACACATTGCAAAACTGACACCATCTGTGTCATTGTAATCCATTCAAGTCTTCTGTCTGTATTTCCTAATGTTTGCAAAATGAAATTTGCTCCAAGAATTAGCAAAACTCCCTATAAGATGGCAGTCCTATGAAGACACTCTTCCCTACCTCCTACTTCATCTCTGCAGCTCTTTTCCTTTGCCCAGGCTGGCTACTGTGACCACTTCAACCAATCTGCTGGAGACATTTTCTAATGCTTTTCACCCTATTTAATCCTACAAATTTCCTGGGCAGTGTGTTTGCTTCCTCACTAGACTGAGCTTGACAAAAGGGACCAAGTCTCACTCTACTCCGCAACTCCAGCATCTAACATAGAGCCTGCCCAGGAGCATATAGTCTCAAGAACCCTTTCAGGCCAAGGTGCTCCACCAATCAGCAGCCAGCTTCCCCTCCATATTGAAGGTTTTCAGTACCAGTATCAGGGTTAGCACAAACATATTCAAATTACATTGGAAAGAATTCTCTAAAATGTTTCATAAACACACAACACAACTTTTTCCAAGTTTTTAGCAACTCACCTGCTAACCCAAACATCTAGTGTGTCCTCAGAGGAGAGAAAACTCTCTCACCTCACTTTTTATTCTCTTTCAAAGCACTGGGACCACTAAATCCTTGAAACTAACAGGGAACCACAACTGGCAAGCCAGTTCTGGTTGCTCCGTCTTTGTTTTGAGAATGGTGGTTTTTTTTTTAATTATTATTTTATTTTTATGTTGTTTCATCTATTTCAAGAAACTTCAAGCACAGTTTGGCACTTCAAGGTTGCCTTTTACCCTTACGGGCATTTGGCCTTGTGGATTGGTTCTCGCACTTTCCAAGGCCCTCCAAGGAAAGATCCCCGCCCCCACCCCCTCCATCTTTTGGGAGTTGCAACACTGGTATGGTTTGTTTGATTTTCTCATTCTCATCCGTCCTCTAAACCACCCCCCCCCCAAAAGCAGTGTATGGCATTCATAAAGTGAATTACACTTGATTTTTGTTTAGAGGATTTTTTTCAGACTTCTGTAACATTCCCTTGAGACAATTGAAAACATCATTGTCTGATTACTAGCTCACTTCCCTTGCTTAAAATTGTATCCATTCTTGATTGCGCCTGTGGGTAGGTTAGGCAAAACAAAATAAACATCTAGACTTATGAGCTCATTGCCTTTTTTTCCCTGAATTTTTCTAAATTAAATAAGGGCAAAAGAGCGGCACTGAAAGTCAGTTATATGGATTTTTCTGCCAAATGCTAACTCTGTGCGCCTGGTTTCCATCTGTGGTGCTTTCCAAGTTACAAATCCCTGGGGGTTGGGGAGGGGGGAAGAGTAGGGTATGAAGAGGTCTATGGATTTGGGGGACATGCTATTTAGAATTACTATCCTGTGCCTTTGAACACTCTAAAAGAAATGGGAATATGAAGTTACAAGGCTTTAGCTCAGCTTTGTGGAAGTCTAGTGTTGTTCTTCAGTAATAGTGACTTATTTTTTAGGCTGGCTGAATTCAAATGCCATTTCCATTCATCCATATTAGCATAAGAAATGTGCCTTATCCACTCCAGCCAAATTCTGCTAATGTCCAAAGTTAGCAGTCAATCCCAAAATGCTCCCTTTAAGTGAAACAGGACATTCAGGAGGATTTTGCCTTACTGGGAAGGATTCTTGTTTTATCTGGGAAAAAGAAAGCTTTAATGCAGTTAATGTAGTGCCGCAGGCGAACTGCACACGACTTAAAACATAGATTGGGGGGAAAAAGTCAAGCAGTCATCATGATGGCTCACAACGATCAAATAATTTGCAGCTTTCAATTTCCAACCACTGAATGACAGCAGCAAATTACACATTTATTCATTTTCAAATTATGCACTTGCCATTGTATTTAGTCGGCCATTATCACATTTTCACTGAAATACCGAAGAGTTCTTTCCATACTCGACCATCAGGGATTTTCACCATATTTTCCCTATCTACAGTGATGATTCAACTAAAATGCAGCACACATGGTTTCCCGCCAGAATGGAGTGCTGGCAAGAAACACTGCGCCCCCAGAAAAATCCAAGATATATGGGTATCGCCATGTTTGGAGTTGGGCCTCGCTCCAGTGAGACTCAGGACAGTGCCTGCCATGTAGAAGGGGCTCCATCCTACTTAAGTCTGTTAAATAAAACTGGAGCGGGCAATGTTGGGCTTTACATGGTGAAAACCCCTGAGACGTGACTTTTCCTAAAAAGTTTCTGAAACAGTAGAGCGCAATCAGAAAAGCTCCTTTACAAGTCCCTGTTCTCTGTTAGCGTGGCCATCCCCAGGCGTGAAGGGCGGGAGAAAAAGGAAGCCCAGGCCAGATCTCAAGATACACAGTGTGTGGGCCCCATACTTTTATACGGATGCTGCAAAGAGGCAGGCTGCCAGAGAGCTGCACTGAGGGGGAAGGGAGAGCGAGCACGCGAGTGAAGGAACACGCACTTGTGTGTGTGTGTGTGTGTGTGTGTGTGTGTGTGTGTGTGTGTGCTGTGTGTCGTGTGTGTGTGTATAGAACAGGGTTGCTACGTGAGTATCTACGCGCTTTTTTTTGTTTTTTAAATGCCACCTTTACTCCCTGATGGGAAATCAGGCAAATGTGGCCCAACCCTGAACGCATTCATCTCCTGGGGTCCTCTGTTGGTGAGGACCAATTTTTAGATTATCAAGAAAAGCATGTTCTCTGACCTTAGCAGTCTAATTACCGTGGCACTTGCAGGGGAGAGAAAGATTCGCCTGTTGTTTAAAGCTTTGTGGAACCGATTCCGTAGGTTGCCCCTGACCGCTCCCGCACACGCCCACGTGGTACGTTTTTAACACTTAACAGCAGAAGAGGTAGTTCTATCCCTCCCTTAGAATGGTATCCTGCAAAGCAATATTTAACATATGCGCAAATGCATTTCAAGCACCAAAAAGGGTGACCAATTACCTTTGCAACTAAACAGCAGGCTCGCTCGGCGCTCTTTTCATCAACCTAAAGAAAAGGCTGAGGGCGCGCTGGCTGCCTAGGTAACCTCCTACCAATGAACGCCGGCTGGCAGCGCCCACGGGGCGCGCATCCCCATGCACAACTTGGTCCAACCATCAGGCCCGCCTCCCAGACTTGTTGAGAGCCACTAGCCAAGTTTTGGCTAATACCGCTCCTTGGTTCTTCGCAAGCACGGGACGCGCACCTCGCTTGCTGCTGAGAGTCGCGACGAGACCTGGGAGACAACGAACCTCTTAAGGTTTCCGAACACCGTCCGCGGTTTCTTCTGAGCGCACCTCTGAGAAATTAACCTGTTTGAAGCCTGCTCGCCTGGCCCGCAGGGCCAAGTGTAGCGAGTTCTCCTAATTGGATTTTAAAGCAGGCGTTAGGAGCCCAAACGCTGCACAATCACAGCAGGCCATTAATATTCATCTGTTGACAACAGCAGCCCTCAGTTAAAGTTACAATATGCCCTTATGGCACTATCTGATTGTGCAGAACAAAAGGCAGGCGGTCAAAAAACTTTCTTCCTTCTAAAACCATCGCCCCATTCAGGGTGCAGCCTGTAAAGGGGGCAGATTGAAGGCGGGGGTTGGGGGTAGAGTTCAATCATCTTTAGAGTCCTACTCCGTGGGCCAGAAGGACCAATTTAGAGGCATTTTGTCAACCTAAATCAGGAACTTCGTATTACAAGAAAATGCTCGATGCTCCTGGTTTGGGGACCCTTCCTACTCCAAAGTTTCCCTCCGCGTGTCTTCCCGCGCCACTGTAGATTAGATTTGCCTGCCCTCAACTTCGCCTGCACTTGAGTCCGTGAGCCCCGGGAACCCAAGCTAGAGAATGAGAGACGTGGGGCACCCTCGGGAATGGACGGTTAGAGCCGAGATCCGGCTGAGGCTGAAATTATGACACGGGCCAGCGAGCGAGTTTCCGAGGCACCAGTTCTGTGCTGGGACGCCGGTTCGCTGTGGCCCGGGGAAACAGCTCCCACCTTCCTATCCTTCCCCCCGCCCCCCGCCGCCAAAATGGGCGCCCACAAACAGGCGATCCCCGCGGCTCCTGCCGTTCTTACCTTTCGACAGCAGCGTGAGCCAGGGAAGGGCAGCCACCGTGCACATTTCCCCTCCCGCCGTAGACCCAGCTGGTTCTAGGCTCGGTAATCACTCCCAGCTACCCAGCCGCAGGGCGCACGAACGCGGCTCCGCGGGGCTAACGCGCCCTGGAGCTCCTAGCTGGGTGCGGAGCATGCGCCAGGGACCCCTACTCACCTGGCACCGGGGTTTCGGGAACCCACTTCAGTCCGGGCTGCAGTCTCTGGAAAAAGGAGCGGACCTGGTGACAGGTGGCGTCCGGCGGCGGTGGCGGGGGCTGCGCCTGTCCCGGAGAGTCCAAGCTGAGCAGCATCACCACCACCAAGCACGCGGTGCGTAGGGTCCCGGCCATCCTGCTTCACCGGGAGCTAAGAGAGCGCTGCGAGAGTCGGCAGCAGGAGCGGGAGCAGTCGGAGGAGTCGATCAGGCTGCAAGTCGCTCAGTGGAGCAAGAGACGGAGCGGCTAAGCAGCCTCTGCAAAAGTTTCCTCGCAGCTACCTGGGCGCCAGGCGAGGGCGGGAATCGCTTTGCTGCGCGGGGCGGGGCAAACCGTGGTAGGGCGGGGCGAGGAGAAACGGGGCGGGGCGAGCGGAGCGGCGCGCGGCTGGCCCGGGGGCGGGGAGAGTGCGGGCTGCGGGGCTGCGGGATGGCGGGGCCGCGGCTCGCTGCCACTAGGGGGCCGCGGCGCGGGGACCTGGCGGGGCGGGGCGGCCTGAGAGCACAGTAAGCAGCGCGTGCGGTGGCTGCCTAACCCAGCTGCCTGCTCGCTGGCGCTCTACACGGGGCGCTCTGGCATAAACTGCTGCAGAGGGGCTGCGGACTCGAGCGCGCTGATTGGCTTCCCAGCAGCCGCCCCTTCTGACTGGCTCAGGGAGAAGTTCCCCAGCTTCACTCCTTCTTCCCGCTGCTCATTGGCCTACAGCCGGGAGGGCTTTTCCCTTTCGGATTTTTTTTTTTCCAGCCTCTCCATCCTTGCTTGGACTGAGTGGCGGTCTCTGGCTAAAGTGCACCACCTCTTCGTCTGGGGCCTTACCCCCCCTCCCCATCCGGCCCAGCTTGTCTCTCAACGCCAGAGGCACACACGGAGCTCCTTCTGCAGGCAGAACCCAACCTCTTCATCCTGCTCTCGCTGGGGCTGTTCCGCGAATCGTTTTCCCAACTCTGGCCTGGTTTCTCAAAAGCCAATACACAAACAGTCACGTTCAGAGGCAGCTGGGCCCCCTCGGGAGTTCACACACATCCTGCCTCCCCCTTTGAATACTGTACTGAACGCCCGGTGGCTTGCTGAGTTTGTTTCAGTAAAACCGAAATCTGAGAAAACATTTGATCCCAAGATGTTCAAAGCAACTATCTCCAGTCCTGGGTGACCGTTAATGAAAGCAGCCTGAACTGCTCAAGAGTGCAATCAGGTGAGGCTGCAAACCAGCCTCGGACACAGCTGAACCTATCCGGTGTGAGAGGCAGAGTTAAAGGCTACCAGGAAAAAAAATAATAATAATCACCTGGTCACAACTCCCCAGCTTTCCTCCTGAAATGGCCCAATTAGAAACTCAGATGTTTGGGCATCAAATACCTCTCAGGAAGAATTCATGCAGTTGCTACTTAGTGCTTCTTTTTATGACTACACACATGCACAGTTGGCAGAATGACTCACACACAGTAGGAATTCAACAAGTGCTTGCGTGATGAAGTGATTTTAACGCCTTAGCGTGAATTAGTTTAGCATCTGATTACAGGGGTTTTTTTTTTAGGACCTAGGTGAAACCAGAGTTTGGGACTCAGTAACAGAATAAAGGAGAGTCTCCCCACCAGGAATTGTACCGGGGGTGCTAGACCAGAGGCAAGGCGCCTAGCCGGCGACCTGGGAGATGAGACAAGGAAGGGGAAGGTCAAGAAAAAGGTGATTCATTCATTCATTCATCCGTTAACAAATATTTGAATTTTCCTGTGCCAGACACTGTGCGATACAGACAATGGAAATAGACAATTTAACCTATAGTACCACACCTCAAAGAGCTGCTAGCCTACTGGGGGAAGATGGCTAAACAAAAGGCAAATGTGTAGTGCTAAGACACAGCTGTAAGGAAGGAGACAAGGGGACGGTGGATCAGAGCGAGCAGGCCAGGAGAAGAGACGCCGTCCAGGACTTGAAAGATCAGTAGGAGTTGAGGTGAGAAAAGAAGATGGGGGGAAGGGTGCCTATGCAAGGAAGCAGTGTGAACAAAGACACCGGGAGCCCAGAGCCTAGCCCGCCACCCCCCACCCCTCACCCCCTGCTGGAGGAGGGGGTGAGTAATGATTTCAGTCTGGGGAGTTCCAAAGAAGTGAGGCCCAAGAGGTAAGCAGGGGCCAGAGTCGGGAAGGTATGCAGAAGAGCCTGAGGAACCACTTAAGGACATTTTAAGCTGAGGGGTGGTGAGTTCATATTTGTCTTATTAAATTATCTCTCAGGCAGTGATTGTGGCGAAGGCTTTGGAGCAGGAACAGGATCAGAAGCAAAGAGACCAGTTAAGAGGCTGTGAAAATAATTCACACACAAGAAATGATAAAAGCCCTCCTGGCCGAGGAGATTTAGAAAAGAGAGAGAGAGAGGGAAAAAAAAAAAAAAGCCTACCAGAGATATTTAGGAGATAAAATGAAAAGGGCAGAGTGACCTCGTGCAAGGGGGGAGGGGACTGGGAGAGTAGTCAAGGATGGAGGGCTCATTCACTCTTTTTTTCAACAAACATTTGAGTGCCGCCTATGTATCTGGCATTCTTCTCCTACTTCATAATTTTGCCTGGGGCTAGGCCTGCGCCTGGATTGAACATTTGACAAATGACATATCCACTTTAAAAGAAACACCAATTAAGAGTCATAATTTGGCTGGTGAGTTTGATATGTTCCACCTGTGGAGCCCTGTGACCAAAGGGCAGGTTGGAAGGCAAGCATTGATTGAATTTCATGACCTCGCCGAGGAAGACATGACCTCCCATAAATTCATGATCTTCCAGAGCTCATGCGACTAACTACAAAGGCAACAGTTGTTTTCAACTACTGGGTATTGAGTACCTGGAAAAGGAGGACTGTGACTTATTTTTAATATGGTGATTTTATCTCAAATACAGTTGGAATGAGCAAACATGGTGCTTCCCAACGTGGAGCGTGTGACTCCGTGGATTTAGTGAAGTACATCAGTGTCCGTTTTGCTTCTTATTTTCATGAATATTTATTTGAATCAGGGTTAGGGCTCCTTATATAAACCCACACATGCAGCCCATGATTTCAGCAGGGCCAAACTGAGTACCTAGTGCTGTGATCATTTATTCCAACAGAAATGTGTACCAGTTTAAAGAAAAAAGGAAGATGAGCACACAGCAAAATGTGTGTAGTAGTATGTTAATAACTAGAATTTGAGCCCAGTCACAACAAAGTGGCTCAGAAGTTTTGTAAAGTATTTTGTTGGTCTGAGAGCTCCTATTTCCTCCACTAGCAGTTACTTTTAGCCACCCTAAGGTAGGGGTTAATACAATGGGCTAGGCTTAAGGAACGCTTCTATTTCTATAAGAGCCTCTCAAAGACACTGGAAGATCCCAGCACCTAACCAATGATTCTGACGAGGGAACTTCAGGCACTGAAGCAGGCATGACAAAGAAGGTTTTGCTTGGGAAAGCTTGCCGGAATGCCATGGGCAGCTGCCTGCTCTGCCTACCCAATGACGTGGAATTTTTAACGATGAACATCCAGTTTGTTAACGAAAGTATCAAGTCTGCTCTGTTGTATACTCTGTACTGCCCAGATGGATGACTGGGAATTAAGACTGTTTTCTTTTACTCTTTTACATAAACAACCATCTTATCTTTCAAAGCTCCCTTCCTCCTGTTAGAAGTCGGGCCAGTGACTCGGCCGTACTCTTCATCTAGAAGAGACAAAGAGAGAAACAGTCTAGAAACACAAGAGGGTGTGTTAATGGAACCAACGCTCACTTTCCATGGTTCCTGGTACCAGAACTTGAAGCTCAATGGGAAGCATTTAGTGAACACCACCGAGCCCCATTTTCCTCTTTGGACCCCAGAGGAAGGCTACCTAGTACAGCGCAGGCCCACAAGCACTTTTCTTCACCTTTTGCTCCTAGTCCCCAGTTTGAAAGAATTCGAGATTTCCCAGCTGTAGCCAGCAGCTATTATCTTGCTGTAGCTGGAAGGAGAGTCTGATTCCATGGCTCCAAAAGCAGCATAAATCAAGTTTTCTGGGAGAGGGTTAAGAAAGGGTGTTCAACAGCTGCCGCCACGGGAGGAGGTCCTACACAGCCATGCACATGGCCACACACGCACTCATTGTTTGTCTTGGGCCCAGTTCCTTTTGCCGTCCACCCCCCCAGGTGATGTTCCCCTTTTCCTGTCCCCCTCAGGTACACAGTCTCTTTTGCTCTTAACCCCACTCTCAAAATGTGCTTTCAGAGAAGAAACTTTAAAACGCATCTGCTCACAGTGTGTCTGGTTGATAGGATATAATGGGGCTGCCCACCCAGGGGTATGAGTATTTTAACAGGGATCAAAGCCTTAAAGGAAAGGAACAGAGCTCTAAAAACTGTGGAATTCCAGGCATCTGCCAGTGGGAAGGGAGTGTTTAAACTGAGGGGCAATGAGGCCTTTTTTGGTGCACCTGAAATCACATCATGCAGACAGTTGCTTATATGTTAGACTGTTGCTGTTCCCAGTCACCACCTCCCTAGCCACACCTCTGCACTCGATGGCACACAGCCACTTTGTCTCCCCTCCTCCTGCAGTGTATGACTCCTTTGTAGCATGGAGGGGAGGGGAGGCGCCAGGCACACTGATCCCAATTCTCCCAAATGTATAAGCTATGATCAGAGAATGAATTATGGTCTTTTGGGAAAGAGTGTTCATTCATTCATCCCAGCCAGCAGGCCAGTGCCATGTAAATGGTAACTTTGTAAGTTGAAAGACTTAAAGCCATTTTGAAAATCGCATAATAATCCCAGGCAGAATTTGGCTCCATGTGTATGGAAAATTAATAGACCCGGCTGAGATGCTTGCATTACCAGTTGTGGATGGATAGCCTCACCTCAGAACAGGGACCATGCATTGCCCTCACTAAATCCACAAAATATACTGCGGTGCTTGTAAGGCAGAGTCCAACGCTTGGGGAAAAAAAAAAAAAACTATTGAAGATTTTTATTTGTAGCATCATGTTGATTACTACAAATAAAATTTATTGTATCCAGTCTTTCTTTGTATAAGGGATATTGATCTAGAGTCCGAATATATTTCTTACACACCCTAGACCATCGATTTTTTTTTCTGATTGGGCATATATATATATTTGTGTCTCTTGTAGAAGATATTTGGTTTTCTATAAATATGTAAGTGAGCAGTTGGTGGGGTGGTACATGAGATTAAACTACCACTTGGAACACCCAGAGCCCATGTCAGAGTGCCTGGTTTGAGTCCTGACTACTCCGTACTTCTGGGTCAGCTTCCTGCTAATACTCCTGGGAGGCAACAGATGATAACCCAAGT